GTGAACCAAAAATGGCAAATACAATAGGAAAGGGAGCCAAAAGCTGTAAATTTTACAAATTGCTGAAAATGTTAGTACACTGGTAAATACTGTGTAAGAATCTGAATTAGCTCAAATTCGACGTTTAAAGTCGGTAAATTATGTTAAAGCTTGAAATAACCAAAATATGCACTGTGAATGAATGAGTTCACTGTACATGTAACCTACAGAGTTAGATATAGACAACCACAATAGAGAAATTATATGGATTAAAGTATCAATTCACAACTTTATAATCGTTGTTCGTAAAACCCAAAAATTCATTACAAAATTCTCCAACGGGGTAAAATTTAGCTATTATCACCATTACTGCTTCCACAAATCCTTTAATCTAACCTGCAATCTCAATATTGGTCACCAAGTCTAACCAGGTTTGAGCCTCTAAACATATTACATAATTTGCAAGCATTTCAGTTACTCATTAAGGCTGGCAAAAGTGATGATTTTGGAAATAGAATAAATTGAAGAATATTGAAATTGCGATTTCAGTCAAAATGAAAACTTCTGATAATTTATAAGAACTATGAGGTTTACCATGGACCCTTCCAAGAAGCCATTTATTCTAATTTGAAACAATCTTAAAATGCTTCTCTTTTCGAGAGTAACAATTCTCATTCGACAAAAAAAAACTTTCAAGGAATACAAATTCCTGATCCAGATCGGGATCGGGATATTGATATTTAAAGCAACAAAATACATAGACAGCTACGATGCATAATCAACATTCAAGTTATTAGTTATAACCAAACTATGAACTTGACCCATAATCTTAGACCATATCATGATTTATCTCATGTAGATAATCAAAGAGTTTCTAGCTGAACATGACAAATACTAAATGATTNGCACCATCAAAATTCTACCTAAATCACTAAAAGTAAACGATTTACTAATCGAACAATACTAATTTTTTGCAACAACAACAACAATAACATACCCAGTATATTCCCAACAGGTTGGGGTCTGGGGGGTCAGTTGTACGCAGACCTTACCCTTGTAATTATACAAGGAGGCTGTTTCCGTAGAGACCCAAGTGCCTTGCGCCGTTTGATAATTTTTTTTTTTCTAGAAACTTCACTAATAGGAGAAGATGGTTGAAATTGGCTTCAAAAAGATTCAACAAAACTCACAACAAATATGATCGCAGTCACCTCAGCCTCTATCTTCTGCTGGATGAGCAGGCCCTTGGTCACACCTCTTTTGTACACCAAGTTCTTGTCATCTTCATCTTTCTTCGTGTGCGGCCTGTAGTAATGAGCGAGCCCAGCAACAGCAAAAATTCGAGCAACGCCATTAGCCGCAGGAACCATAAGAATTTAACTAAAATTGTAAAAGTATTAAAATTAAAAAGAGAAAGCTTACCTAAGAATTAATATCAAGATCGCAATCTGCTCCCCTTGAGTCCATATACTCCATGACGTCTACCTTTGATCCATCGGTCCATAGGCCCGTTCACGCGATCGCGAGTGAGACCCGGAACCAAAAAAAAAAAATCAAAAAGATTTGCATAGGAAATAAGGAAGGGAGATTGAGATTTGGAGGATTAAAAAATCGGCGGAACAGAAAATTAAAACGAAAAAATTGAAGAGATTTGCATAAAAAGAAAGAATCGCAGATTCAGATTCGAAGGCTAAAAAAATTGGGATGAAAAATTTGTCACTGTAAAGGAATTGGACGCGCATAGAGAAAAGGAAAAAATTGAAGAGATTTGCATAAAAAGAAAGAATTGCAGATTCATATTCTTTTTTTTTTCCAACGACAAATAGACATATATAAAACTCAATAAAGTCTTACAACCGAGCCACCAAATGATGGATACACAAATGCAGAGGAGTCTAAATGCACCTCTTCAATACAACAACCATTCTACTACACTTAAGCTATTACAAATCTTACAGAAAACTGAATGAAGAGAAAGAAGAACTCAGTTCAAATAAATCAGCTGCAATGGACCAGCAACAATGATTAAACTCCAGCTTTTGATTATTTAGTTTCTTAACCACATCTTTATTGTGAAGTTTACATCTGCATTGTTGCCACCCATTCTGAATAGCTTTCATAACAGCCCATCTTGCAGTTGTCATCTCTTTGCCTTCCATGCAGCCATTATACCAGATTTTACCTGTCCACTGTTGTGTCTCCTCACCCTCCATTTCAGCTTCACATATCATCTCCAGTTGATTATCAGAAGAGGTTAAGACACTGACATTGAGAATCCAATGACCTACCTTCTGGGAAAATTCCTCATCTTTATCAACTGAATTCAAAGAAGTGTGAACCTGATTCTCAGAACTCTTACACTGAGCTACCAAAAATTCAAGCCATTCTTCTCTTGCTCCTTCAGCAATTTGCTTTTCACACACTTTAGCTTTTTGAAAAATCCAGATGTTTCTTGTTTTCCAAAGCCACCATAGGATATAAGATGAAAGGCTGGCTCTGTCTCTCAAACTTCTCACATAAGGTGCACTACAGATATGACCCCACCAGTCCCTGAAGGATGAATTGTGCTGATTCAGGCTGTCCCACTCCACTCCACTCAGTTTCCAGACTACTCTTGCTCTGGGACAGTTAAAAAAAATATGATCCATATTCTCAGCTTCCATGCCACATAAATGACAAGTGATGTCCTCAGTCAGATTTCTCTTCACCAATTGGTCCTTGGTATGCATGAACCCAAACCAGCACTTCCACAAGAAATGTTTGATTTTGGGTTTAACAGGAAGATTCCATGACATTTTCCACACTTGATGCTCCACATTAGATCCCCTGCTAGATGAAGCAGTGACAATCCCCTTGTTCTGCCAGAAATGAGATACAAAGGCCTCATAAGCTGATTTAACACTAAATTTCCCATATTTTCCAAATAACCAAATGAATCTGTCACTCTTCCCCAACCGAGAGATGGGGATTTTAAGAATACACTCAGCTTCCTCAGGAATAAAAGTTTGCCTCACTAACACTCTATCCCACTCCCCTCTCTCCTGACTCATAAGATCACTCACCCTCCTGATGTTATTTCTGTCCTGAGCAAAAGTGCAAGTGGGTATGGGTTTCAACTCTGGGCAGCCAAGGGTGCTCCCAAACAAAGATGTTTTGCCCATTTCCCACCTGAAAAAAATTGGGATGAAAAATTTGTCACTGTAAAGGAATTGGACGCACATAGAGAAATAGCAGGGCACAATTAAACACAAAACGACGTCGTTTAGAAGAAGGCGACGTGGCTTCACAAGGAAAGGAGGGACACGCGTCAGAAATTGAAAGTAGGGACTCTTTTTTATAGATAAGAGAAATAGATATATATATATATATATATATATATATATATATATAGGGCCGCGCTCCGGTGAGAATGGTGTTCAGTGAAAGAAATGAGAATAAATTGTAGTCACCGGATCGAATAATCCAATGGCCAAAAAACGCATAAGGTTTTACAGTTATTAAGGGCAAAATAGGTATTTCTCCCAACCACTTGCTCGTGGGCCTCGCACCACTAGGGATGTAAATGGGTCGGGCCGGGTGCGGGTTTTGACATACCCGTACCCGACCCGCCGGCTAAAAAATGCACCCATACCCGGCCCGCTACCCGATTAATCACCACGGGTTCGGGTTGGGTTTTACCCGTCGGGTAATTGGGTACCCGCCGGGTAAACGGGTACCCAAATTGTTGCAGTCAATTGGGTTTGATCGGGTTATTTTTACCCGCTTACCCGTCACCCGAGTACCCTGAACCCAACCCGACCCGACCCTGTGCCTAAAAAAAAAAGCAAATGCATTCAAATTGCCAGCTCGACACCATATTAAATATATTTCAAATTATATTGAAATATATAATAATTAAAATACATGATTATAAAACATAAGATTGAAATTAATTTTTGCTTTTGTTAAAAAATATATAATAAAATGTACTTTTAAATTCAAATTAACAATATAATACTTATTTGAAATGATATAGCGAGAGATATCTATCACTGAGAAAAAAAAATAGTTGTCTAAATTTAACACATAACTTATATGCGTTATAAAGAATGTTATCATCTCTTTCGCATATCATACACTATTTTTACTTCTCACGAATTCCCAATTATACTCCAAATAAGTAGCATTATAAATTTGTACACATTATTTTTACACAGATAATATTTGTAAAGATATAAATATATTGAATACACTATACACGTATAAACTTATTTATCAAGTTCATTATTATTTATTATATATATGCTATTTTCAATAATTAGATCTATTCTTTAATATAAAAACTATGAATTCATCACATTTATATATGTGGATAGGTTATTTGCTTGCATAGATTTTCATTTTTCAAGTACAGGTAATAGAGTAACAGACTAACAGGTTTGCTTTTTTCATTTTTTATTTTTGATTTTCCTTCTCTCCTTTTTCATTTCGTGATTCGTCCTAAATTATATGAATGATCTGTTCCATCTTCATTCTTCAATCTTCAATATCTATGAAAATTTTAAAATACTTTGATTACTAAATTATTATTTTTTGAAACATAAATTTTTTGTATATCTATATATATATATAGTTATTAAGTGTGCGGGTAATCGGGGCGGGTAAAAGTATGGGTCGGGTAAAAAACCCCGCCGGGTAAATGGGTCGGGTAATCGGGTCGGGTGGTGGGTTTTTTCATTGAACCCATACCCGACCCGACCCGGTGTGCGGGTAAGAAGGAAAAACCCATGTACGACCCGCGACCCGGTATTTTCGGGTTTACCCGACCCGGTTTTTCGGGTTACCCGCGGGTAACCCGACCCTGTGGGTTTTTCTGACAACCCTACGCACCACAAAAAGACCATCTCCCAAATCTTCTTTCTCTCACCTCACCCACAAGATCCACAACCACCCACCCTCTCTCCCTCTCTCTCTCTCTCTCTCTTTTTTCTGTCGCACCCACCACCTACTTCACCGCCTAGTCACGTCGTGTCGCCGCTGTCATGTTCCACCTCTACTTCGTCAAGTACCTGCTCGCCCGGAGGCCCGAGATCACCGGTGAAGAATCCCGCCCCAATCGTCTATGGTGCCATCTACAGCACGACCGTCGCGCCGCCGCACTCGTCCGCTACGGCATCCTCGCCGATGCCGGCGTTTTCAGTGCCGTCTAAATCAACGCAATATCCTTCTCGTGTGGTCCGCAGCTAGAAGCATATCAGAGAAGAAAGTTTCCCCAATCGCCGTCTACAGCACCATTCACACCGTAATTTTCGGTCCTCTACGCCATCTCTGACGGCGTCGGCGTTGCCGAATCCACCTCCAGTGACGTTGGCGTCGACAGAGCACACCATCAATCGGTTAATTAGGCCATCTACTGCCAACTGATTTTTCTCTGGCCGTTTTAGGGCTCCGTTGCCGGTGAAAATTGGGAATTTCACAGCGAGGCAAAATACAATCCGATCAGCGGTGGACCAGATTTCACTTGGTTTAGGTATCACCGCCCATGAGCTCCCCGCCAACATCGACCGTATTATCCACCGCCCCTGCCTTTTTACCCATCGCCCAGAGGCTGGATGTCATGTATGAAGAATATGGTTACGCCTGCGATAATTGATTGATGTTCTATCGAATGATGTTCGATCGTTTCAAGTAAAGTTCGGACCGATGGATGCGCGTGGAATTTTATATTCGCAGTCTACTTCGCCTTTGGGTTCGTGGCTGGGAGGTAAACCATTTCTATGTGTGGTGGTGGCATTTTCATTTGGCTTGATTTTCTGAATGTGTTTGTGCTTTAGTTGGATTTTTTTGTTGAATTACTTGTTTTTTTGGTGATAAATTTACTTGTTGAGGTCTGTATGTTTCAGTTTATTTCATTTGATATTAGTTGTTTCTGGTATGTAATTTTTATGAAAATATTAATTGATTCAAAATGATCAGTGTTTTGACTTGCATATCGTGCGCCCAATATTTGCTAGTTATGTTCTTCTCCTATGAAGGAAAAGAAAATTTTATGACATGCTGATTTTTAGCAATGCCTTGCATGAAATTTCATTTTATTTGTCGCAATTGGTTCGCCCAAATAATTGCTATTATGATCGTAGTTTTGTACACTACTGTGGGCATAAAATTGGTTGTGGATGAATTGGATAAATGATGAACCTTGTACGGTTTAACCTCTTTTACTTTTTGGGAATTGATGATGGATTCATTTATTTAGTTAAGTATCTAGAGGTTATCTCGTTTTTGTACAGTTCCTCGAAGTAAGTTTCCGGTTGCTGGAGAAACTCGAAAGAGGAGAGAAGGGAATAGATATCGTAAGCTATGGTAGATATGGATGATGGGGATAACATCTACATGCAACCCTGGAGAGGAACAATCATAGGCCAACACAATGTGAATCACTTGGACGTTGCCCATGAGTTGATCGACCCGGTGATTTCAGCTGAAGAAAAGCAAGTCGGTTTATATTAGCATTAGCTGCAATTTATCAGTGATCCCTCACCCAACTTTCTCCAATTGGTATCAAGCGCGTCACCAAGGGGGCCCCACTAGTGTCTTGCCGGTTGAGGACACGGTCAGCCTGGAGAACTAAATCAAGCCTAGCCCTAGGTGTGGAGGTTCTCTGGCAGGGAAACTCCAGTCTCCAATTTGGGACTATGGGTCTTTCTTTGAAAATTATTTAAGTTATAGGGACTTATTTGCAATTTGAAGAATTTTAAATATATTGCAATTTAGTTCATGGGTCAAATATGTATTTTTTCAAAAATTTACTAAATGCACAATATTGATAAGCTAAGTGCACAATATTGTTTGTGGTTATGCACCTTAAAAATACTCGCACTACAGAATGCACTATTAATGCTTGCACAATAGTGTAAGACAAGATGCACATTAATGTATAAGAAAATGCACCTCAACTTAACAATAAATCACAACGGCGTGGTGCAACACGTGTGGTGGTGGTGCAGTCCTCGTCTTAGATATGCACAATTAAATGCAATCATATTTTTTATGAAATTATATAATTTCCATCGCCTAAACATTTAAAATTTAAAAGCTCACAACAACAACAACATAGCCTTTAGTCCCAAGCAAGTCGGGGTAGGCTAGAGATAAAAATTTACCAAATTAATGGAAATAGTTTTATATGTCATCTCTGAGAAGAAAAATAAAACCACCTTAAAATTTAACTATAGCTGAACTCTAATCCATAAATCTAAATCTTAAAGGCGATCTCTAAACTTAAGTTGCACAAAGCATATATCGTGTAGATGCACATTACCCAATTATATGTTACACCATAGTACACGATTAATTGCACATTATATGTCATCTCTGAGAAGAAAAACAAAACCACCTTAAAATTTATCTATAGCTGAACTCTAATCCATAAATCTAAATCTTAAAGGCGATCTCTAAACTTAAGTTGCACAAACATATATCGTGTAGAACTGTAGATGCACATTACCCAATTATATGTTGCACCATAGTTCACGATTAATTGCACATTATAGAAATGAAGTGCCTAATAATTCTTGAACGCCACCTTAAAACTTAACTATAGCTTAACTCTAATCCATAAATCTAAATCTTAAAGGCGATCTCTAAACTTAAGTTGCACAAAGCATATATCGTGTAGATGCACATTACCCAATTATATGTTGCACCATAGTACAAGATTAATTGCACATTATAGAAATGAAGTGCCAAATAAATCTTGAACGCCACCTGCGATTGCCTGAATATGGATGATATATAAAGTGAATCATAAAATGTAAATATAGTCGATCTATAGCTTTATAAAGTGAATCATAAAATGTAATTATAGTCGATCTATAACTTTATACTCAAAATACGAACATCTTCAAAGAAAAAGTGATAACAAAAGAAACATATTCATGTTGATGTTCATAATCTAGATTTTTCTGTATAAATTCCACAAATCAACAAACAAACAAAAAGAGTATTAATAATCCAAAATATACATCATGTTGAAATCAAAAACATGAGAGGTCATGTGGCTAAATACGATAGTGTACCTGCGCCCAAAAAAAAAATCCTACTAAACATCATCTACAAAATGATGATGATCAATGGTATATCTTTTGTACATGCTAAATTCAACTGTCGAGAATGACCATAAAAATAAATGCCACCTTGAAATATTCGAACATTTGGCATGGAATACTGGACGATTGATATGTCCCTGCAAAAACAAAAGTTAAAAAAAAAATATATTAATGTTGCACATTACTATATAAAATATTGCACATTAAAACATTATATAAAGCACATTATAATTTTTATCACTAGTCCTTTGCCCTCATAATGAATAATGCCCGAATCTCTTATACAATGTGTTCGTAAAACTCTACTGCACCTAATTCGTTGTCCCATCATCCCGTAGATTAGCTCACACTAATTTTGCGAACATTTAAATTCAAGAAATAACCACAATAAAAATCTTACAGCCATACGATAATCCACTACAACATACCACCATGGCGACACACTGCCATGGTCTCCATTTCAAAGCCACCACAAAGCAGCTATAATATTGCGGCCAGACAATAATCTGCCAAATCATACCACCATGGTGCCGCCATGGCCAAACAAAACTGCTCTATTTAAATTTTATATATCCGCTAAATATGCAAATACACATCCTACTATATAAATAACAATGCAAACAAAGCACTTTCTAATCAGTCTAGCTGCTAGTCTAGCTCCTATTCACCTGTGAATTACAAAATCAATCCAACGACATCTAACAATCTTATAATACAATGGACTACTCCCAAATCGGGAAAAACAACTAGAAAATCACAAAACTAACCTGAACTTAACACAAACACACCTTAACATAAACATCAGGCAACTGAATATGTGCAGAAAGTAAATATATATCACAAGGGTTCAATCAGGTTATATCTATTAGATCACTGTGTTTTCTCAAACAATTCCTATGAAATGACAACCTCCTACTATCCTACATTTTGTTAGCCAAAAAAAAAAAAGNACAAAAAAAAAAAAGGTGCAAATAAAATATCTATTAAAAAAAAGGATGGTCGGCCTTTTCCAGTAAAGACCAAGGCAAAAAACAAGCAGACGACTAAAATAAAGTATATTAAATTAGGATGTAAATTCAATGTATTATTACCTGCGAGCAAGATATATGGATTCTCGGTCTAATAGACCGAGTGGACAACCTCCATGATCCCCATCGCTTACAATGACAGGTAGTTGGTTTACGCCACGTCATTCATCAGTGTCCGAGCAGTTAAGAGGCTCATGTTTGGGGTTGCTGTCCATGCCCCGGAATGACTTTTCCCAATAGAGGAAAAGTTGTTCCAACTATTACAGCACATGAGCCGATTGTTCTCGTCAACTATTACAGCACATGATTGCTTCTCTTCCAGCATGTGGGCCATATTGAAGGCCATATTAAACAATAACACCTCCTCAATTACATCGAACCTTCCCCTTTCAGACTTAGGAGTTAGTAGTCGAGCTTCCCCCGCCTCTTAAGTGATGAGAGCCCTATCCCCAACCTGTCTAACCATTATCTGCTACAGCTGGTAGAACATAGGTATCAACACCCCTACTAATTTGAGTCATGAAAAATATCCTTCAATCCGAGAGTTACATCGAGTGTTCCAGTGAGAGCTATCGAAAGAACCAATAACACTAAGTCAGTACAACAAACACACTAGCAAAATCTGACAATAGTTCTATGTCGAATTGAAATGAAGACTCAAAACAGAAGCGTTATGCCTATCTGGAATTCAAAAAAGCAAAACGGTGCTAGACCTACTTCAATTTGATGATATATCTAGCATGCAACAATTTCAACAAGAAAACAAATCAGTAGTCAAATATGTTCCTACCAACACCAGTGGCAATAACACAACAAAAACAAGTTTAACTTCCCCGTTTATTCCCCATATACCAACCTCCATCAACCCATCCTCAGTGGCACACTTAATTACACTCTTACGCCCGCCTTGTCTCCATTATCCAAAAGGGTCTTGATCACGTAGTCCACGGCCTTCTACAGGCCCAGATCCTCGTACTCCAACATCACATTCTTTGTAAACGGTCATAGCAATCGTCTCTTTCAATGACAATAATTTCATAGCAATCATCCTATCCAAAGTTCCAAATCTGATAAAGAAATGAGGGCTTACTGCAACTCAGGAACTGAGTTCGTGATATCAATCGTCTCTTTCAATGGTTATTCTCATAAGGTAACTGTCTCTTTGGTTGATTGTTCAGATATGGTAATTGTCTCCTTTAATGGTTGATTAGCATTGAAAAAATGAAAGGGATTTATCATCACTGATGCCAAACTTTAAAAGCAATAAGCTGTGGAAAATCTAATAACTTCACAAACAAAAAACACACCTTCTTCGAAGTAGGAAAAATGGAAAAAATTAAGAACATCAAGCATATAGAACTGAAGCGTTCATCATCAGGGCATAAAAATAGGGTAACAAAAAAATAATCAACTCACTAATGCACACACAATCTACCTGATTGAAAATAAACAACTCGTCAAATTATCACAAAGCGCATAAAAGCAAAAAGGAGAAGGAAAGGACAAACCCTAGAACGATCCAAAAACTAATCGCTAACAAGTTATTGTCACAATCGAACACGCATATACATATAAACACACACAGACACAATCAAAGTACTGACAAGCCAAACAAACAAAAACTCAGATACTAACCCGATTAAAATCGAATTGGAGCTAAGAACAGAAGGTTTACTTGACACTGTGGGTTGGCCCGATTAACACTGTCTCCGGCATCCCTGATCCTTCGCGCTGCCCCGATTAACTCGAAGATTTCAATTTGAATACGGATTCAAGTGCTCTCTCATCAACACTCTCATAAGCCATCTCCCTCGTCTCTCTCAAGCTTTATATCCACTGTCGACTATGGACTCCCACGCACGCCTCATCTCTCTCTTAGCCATTTAGAATTAAAATGACAATAGTGCCCTTTCATGTACCACCTTAAAACCTGAAATTTCCTTTCTTTGCAATAATCCCACCGTTTTTTTAATTGACTTTGACGGCATCTCGACCGTACATCAATCAGATCTGAAGGTACATATTTATTCTTATTTCTTTCACTATCTATCATTCTCAATGGATCCAAACTCTATATATATATATATATATAGAGAAAGGATCATATGAGAATGACTCTTAATGCGAGAAAATGAGAATGAGTCTGGATCATTGGATCCAATTTATCAATGGTCATGATCAAGTCAAATTTTAATAAATCATGGTCAATCATTAATGGCAATATGGTAAATAAATAGATATATAAAGGTCAAATATATAGATTTAGCACTAATTAAGGGTAATTGAGACTTTTGGATCAAACACCTAACATGTGGGACCAACCACATCACACATTAAACCTACACACCTCCACCTACCCGTCACTCATCTTCTTCCCCCTTTCCCCCCCACCCCACGCACACACACTTCTCAACACACACACTCAGATTGACCACCGGCGACCCGTCTCCTCAGCGGCGGAGTTCTGCCGCGCGCATATGCCGTCCGCCGTCGCGCCTCCGCAACCCATCGCCAGAGACGGATGCTACCGAGCAGGCTCCGGCGGAAAACCAGCCCGTCGTCTGTGTAGATCTGCGCCTCCGCAGCCCATCAACCGCACCAATTGTGGTCGTCGTCGCGGCGAGAAAGGTTGTGCTGTCGTCTGTCTGTTGTCCTAATCGGCCGACGATGTAGATTTGGAAGGGCTGACGGCGATGGCTGCCGTGGGAGAAACGGCGGAGGAGAATGGCCGATATTTTTTTTGTTTTGTTTGGTCGGAGGACGGCGGCGGTGTTTGGTGACGAAGACGGTGCCGGCGGCGTTTGGTGACGAAGACGGCGGCGACGGTGTTTGGTGGCGAGGACGACGACGGCGGCGGCGTCTGGTGGCGAGGACGACGACAGCGGCGGAGTCTGGTGGCGAGGATGATGGCGGCGGCGCTGCTGAAGTGCAGTATTTTTATTTATGTATGGCATGTGAAAATTAAATGAAGACTAGATTATGACACATTAGATGCACAATATGGTATGATTGTGTGCACTTTAAAAAATAATAATGTCATGCACTTAAAAAAATAATATCATATGTATACGTAATTATTAAAATTTTATAAATACGTCATTTTTTCACGATAAGTGAATTGCTCAAAATTGTGTATATATGTGCGTTTTAAAAGTAAAAACTAATAATCAAAGATGTAAAAGTTCGGTCGATTTCGATCTCTAATGTGCAATTTGATATTCGTGATAAAGTGCAATGTATTGTATTATAAAGTGCAACGTATTGTTTTGTAAAGTGCAATGCGTTATTTTATAAAGTGCAACGTCAAATAAATCTGAAAATGAACATATTGATTTATTCGATTCGCTTAACCGAATTATCCTACATAATCAAAACAATTTGTTTTTATATTAAAATTATATTTAATACGTTAATAATTTTATTTATAATTTTTATATTATTTTTGGTTGACAAAAAATTGTGTTCGGTTGGTGCAATGTATTGTTTTGTAAAGTGCAACGTGTTGTTTTACAAAGTGCAACGTGTTGACGTATAAAGTGAAATAATGTTTTTTTGGTACGTTAACGTGCTTGTGTTTTGTGTGAATAAATGATGTGATTGTTGTTATACTATTATGTTTATCCATTTTTTAAATTTATGTTGCGTGACGTTTTCGTGGGAGAGCTGATAACGTCAATTGTGGAGTGTGTTGATAAAGTGCAACGTGCTGTTTTATAAAGTGCAACGTGTTGTTGTATAAAGTGCATCGTGCTGATATATAAAGTGCGCTACTTTATACAATCAAATATAAATTATGTGTTTTTGAAAAATAAACTTAGTTGATATAATTGCACATCAAATTGACCCAAATAAACAAAAAAAATTTATTAGTTATTATTACAAAAGTATATTTATTATTTTAAGATTTTTTATATATTAAATTTTACATACTGAAATTTTATCAAAATATTTATATTGTAAAATTATATTTAATATTTATGATTTTGTAATTTTATATTTTATATTATTATTTGTTGAAAGAAAAAAAATAATGTGCACTAATAATCATTCGATCAATCAACCGAATTATTATAAACATTCAAATGAATTATTCAATATTTTAATATTTTATTTATTATTCAATATATATGTATAAAAAATATAAAAAATATTATTTTTTATTAACTTTGAATAATTACAGATTTAGCCTGTGGGCTAAATTGAAATATAATTAAAATCTAAGAAATTGCATTTGAGTCCTTGAAACTTTCCTAATTTTCAATAAAAATGCCCAAATCAATTTGAGTTTGCAGGTGAACGGGAATGGCTGTGTCTCCTCCGGGCGCGTTTCTCCGGCCAATTGGACGCAATCGGAGAGAGACTCGTCGGCCATCTGCTCCAATTGCACCAAGAGATTCATGTTCGGGTTGGTGAAAGGTAGTGTTCGTCTTGAACGGAAGTCGTCGGAGTTAGGTGGCGACGGCGGCATAGGGTTGTCTGTTGTGTCGAGATTGGCCGCGAATGGAAGGTCGCCGGAGTCGAATCGAGACGGCTGACGAAGGCACTGAGTCGACGGAGGAATAGACGAGAACTGTAGAGGAGGAGCGGCAGCGATGGTGGCACGGCAGCGGCAGCGACGGTGGCACGGCAGCGGTTGAGACGTGAACGAGGCGGAGTCGTGACGGCGGCGGCAGAGTCGTGACGACGGCGACGGCGAATATGGATGGTCGAAAGTCTGCCGGCGAGTGCGTGATTTTGTGTGTGTCGTGTGAGTTTACTGCGTGCGTCTCAGTGTGTGTACAGTGGTGTGTGTGAGAGAGAGGAGGTGGAAGTGGTGTGATGTGTTCCAGCCACATGGCATTAAATTATTGGGTGTGGTGGTGTTAGTTGGCATGTGTCCTATAATTGTATAATCAAAATGTCCAACATACCCTTATGGACTACATAAATGCTGAATTTTTTATACCGTTAGATCGTCTAATCCAATGACTACGATTTATTCTTATTTCTCGCATTAAGAGTCATTCTCACCGGAGCGTGACCCTATATATATATATATATATATATATATATATATATATATATATATAATTGCTTGCATGAGCATTTAATAAAACCTATTAAATCATACATATGTGACAATATAATTTTTTCCTTCAAAAAACCGTTACTTTTTATTTATTTAAGCTCTCAATTAATTATTAAATAATCAACACACTACTCACTTCAAAATTACAAAAATCATTTTAAACTTTTGATTTACTTACAGCTGACCATATAATGTGTTGACTATTTAACGTGATTATATGTCATTGTTGTGGTTACATTTAAATTAACTTCTTTTGAAAAATAAAACACGTATTTGAAATTCATAAATAAATAATAAGTAATTCACAAAAAAAAAAATACATACCAAAAACCAGAAAAGAAAAAAAATGCAACAAAAGAAGAAAGAGTTGATTTAAGAAAAAAAAAAATAAACCTAATCTATTATTATAGAAAGAGACAACCTAAAAAATTCAAAAATAGCAAACAAAAAATAACTAGAATTTCCGCCTATAAAATTACTAAACATAGTAATATTTTTGAAAAATATCAAAAAATCCCACCTAAACATTTTTTAAAATTTTCAAAAACAATTTGAATCTAACAATGTAAAGTATATATAGACTATATGTTTGTTCAGAAATATTGGGGAATCTTTCAAAAAAATCAATTTATTTAGGTAAGATATGATATAAAATTAGAGTGGAAAGAAGGTCGGATATACTGCGATTTTACTTTCTGATCCTAACGCCATGAGTGTGGGCCATGGAGAGTTTGGTGATCCCCTTGTGTTGTAGTCAATACAATGGGCACTGTGTGGCGGACACGGTTTCGGCATAACCGCCCCGCTTGGGCACCCGATAAATAATTAATTAGTGTGTAGTCTGTGCGTTGTACGAATAATAATATTAAATAATAATTATAAATTAAAGATAAAGATAAAATATATTAATTAATGTTTATAAATTTAAGATGTGAGTAAGTAATATTGAATAATAATTATAAATTAAATATGTGAGGTTAA